ATGGCTTAACTGCTGATTGTAAAGGACAGCGTAAGACCTTCTAAAATATAGAGAGTAGCTCGGATGCTACAATAGGACCTTTTGGTTTGTCTTATGGAATAGATAAGGCTGATGTTTTGGCAAAAATGTATAAGTGAAACACAAAAATAAAATAATTGATTTTCGTTTCGTGTAGCCTCGAACGATTATAGATAAATCTTCAAGTCAATTTACCTCCACGTAGTAGAATAAACGTTATATCGTTCACAACTAAAGAGAAGAGCAGTGGTCCCAAAGTGCTACCAACAATCAATACGAAACTAACGATTTTAAATTGGCTCACCACTTTAGTAGCCTATTGGTCCCAAGCAAACGATTAACGTACCCTATTTTAGTTGAAATTCTATTACTACACTATGTTTGTTTTGATTCGCTATGAAAGTTTGACAGATAACATCAGGGGTGTGTGGATTCATGCAGAACATGCAGGGGTGAGTGAAATAGCTTGGGACTGCTTGGGACCGTTGTTCTGGTACTGAGTGAGCCAAAAATAATAATGATTTTCTTCGGGACCCAGTGGTCTTAGAGTTACCTCTATGGTGCTACCCTGTGGAACTCCTGATCTGTTCGAGAAGCAGTACGGTGAGTAGTTTCCAATGCATACAGTATCAAGAAAGAAGGAAGCAGAACATCCAATTTTTTCAAGCTTTGCGAGCAGATCGTCGTGCACAACTCTATAAAACGCATCTTTAAGATCAGTGTAGATGGCGTCCTTTTGATGTTTCTTGCAAACATTTTCCATACAGATCGACGTAAAGCTGACGAGTTTCGTTTCTACGGAGCGGCCAGGAAAGAAGCCATGTTGACAGGTAAATATGTAATGCTTATAGGATGCAATTAATCTCTCATTTATAAGTGACTCAAACACCTTAGATTCAACCCCGAGTGAGGTAATCCCACGGTATTTTTCCACAATTGCGTTTGTCTTCTTTCTTGAAAACAGGGAACATCCCAAGTAACTGTCTAAATGCTTGGAAGATTTATTCTTATTTTAACATTGTTTTATCATCGCATCCCTTGCAGCACACGAGTGGAACTTCAGATCAGAAAGTGGCTTCACTTGTCTTTTGCGAACACTAGCGCACCTAGCGGTAGAAGGCATCTTCTGCCTGCAGTTAAGATAGGCAGCATGCTATGATAGTGTGAGTGCACATAGAAAGCCCATGTGGAACGCTACCACAACACATTGCTTATAGAGCAGAAAAACGAAGCACTTTTTGATTCATCGATTTGTTTGCACTTCCCCTTCTGTTCTGTGCTTGCAGCCAAGGTTGCAAAGACTCATTTCAGTTAAAACAATGTTTTTCTAAATTATGAAATAATTAGATGCCATGATCAAATTTTGAATTGGTAGGATACAAGAAGAGGTTGCAAAGAATGTGTTATAATAATAATAATAATAATAAGAATAAACCTGTTTATTTCACTTCATGAGAGTCACAATCAGCGATTTTTCACAAACTCACTCACTCACTCACTCACTCACTCACTCACTCACTCACTCACTCACTCACTCACTCACTCACTCACTCACTCACTCAGCGATCAGCAAATCGCTGATTGTTACTCATAGAAAGCAAAATTTACAGGTTTTATGTTTCCAACGCATACTTTGTAACCTCTTCGTAAGTTACAAGTAAAACATGCCATCATACCATCTGTTGGTTTTATTATTCCGAAAAACATTATTTTAGCTGAAATGAGTCTTTGCAACCTTGCTTGCAACCTGTGGTTGTATTACGGTTTTGTGTGCTTGTCATAGAATCAGGCCGTTAAGTCGTCTATAAAACTGTTTTATGACAACTAAATTAAAACTCAGACTTCATTGTTTTAACGGTAGCTGTAAGGTGGTTCTGTATCACTACTTATAACTGAAGAATAAAACCAAAACAAAACATACAATTATGTTCTCATCAAAAGGTTGTTAAAACTTTCTGACCTGGAGGAGGTTTTGTGTTTTCATTTTTAACAACCACGTGTAGAGTGTGATAAAACTGACATAAAACCTATGTTCCTAAGGTAGTTCGCATATCAAGTTTCAATTATTGCATTAAAACTGGGCCAATTGGCCATGCCATGCCTAGCAAATAGGCTGCATTTGTCCTCGGTTGTCAATACAACGTCATTGTCGAGAAACATCTTTGACGGCAGACGACAGACGATATCCTACGCAGGTGTGGGAGCTGCCTTCCTGCACATTCGATTGCCGTCAATGGATGGCAATCGATGTCCGTCGGTGATTGGCACTAGATTGCGGAACAGAGACCGACGTTAAACAAAGGAAAAAAAAGGCAGACCAGTTTCCTTCCCCCACAAACGTCCGGAATCCCTTGGGGGTGGCTTTGCAGATTATGTTGAGTACGAATTACATACCTATTGTAAAGAAGCTTATTGTAGTGGCGATAATCATTGCTGGCAATTGAAAAATTTCGTTTTGTAAGGGTACATTGTCGATACGTGAGAGCGCGGAGAGCTCTAGCTCGCACTCGTTTCAGGCTGGGACGGGACTTGACAATCGGGTAGCGATTTCGAGCCAATTGCTGTCAAATCCGAGCCAGTTGCTGCGAGAGTTGCTGATTGGTCGATTTGAAAGTAGTAATCGTGGAATAAAAAGGACAGATGGATCACATCAATCTGACTGGCAGTGATGCCGGAATCAATGTTGACGTCAATGGCGTTGTTAATTGTTTATATTTGCGAAAGTGAAGTTGGAAAATAGGGTCCACGGCGTGCTTTAAGCGATGGATATTCTTCTTTGTTAATGGTTGTTTTATTGTGATAAGCAAAAATGATGTACAAGGTGCTAAACTGCAGTAGAAACTCCTGGCAATCCTGGCATCATTGATCAACTCCGTCAAACACCATGCACTTATTTTCGACGGGTATTAATCAAAAATATTAAGAAGTGTGAGAAGCTGGATTGTCAAGTCCCGTCCCGGGTTTCAGGGTGCGGAGAGTAGCATTAGACCAAGGTGGTTTTCTTGGAGGTAGGCACTTCGGTATTGAAGCACAAACACAATTGCGTAAATGGCAATTATAGCGAGCGACTTCTCTATCGATATCAAAGTCATTTAACACGTTCCAGTCAATCCGGGACAAGGAACGCCTTAGCAAACGGAAATCAGTCTTCCAAAAATTGAGACGATTGGCAGTCGAGGTTTCATCAAAACGAATTTGTGATTAATTCGCGAGGATAATACCATCAATACGAAACTAACGATTTTAAATTGGCTCACTACTTGACTAGCCTATTGGTCCCAAGCAAACGATTAACGTACCCCATTCTAGTCGAAATTCTACTACTACACAATGTTTGTTTTGATTCGCTATGAAAGTTTGACATATAAAATGAGGGGTTAGTGGATTTTCCAATGTTTCGAGGGGTGAATCGATTAGCTCGGGACCGAAGTGAGTACCAGAGCTGAGCCAAAAAGTTGAGCACGTTATTTCGGGAGCTTCTAGTCTTAGAGTTAGCTCTATGATAATACCGGTTGAAGCCCCGGGGCAGTCAACTTAAGTATTTTCAATTCATCTACCCGACTTAAAAAGGTGTATTTTGTATTTTTTCGTATTAATATATTTTTATGTTTTGTGTATTTTTGTATTAAAGTGTATTCAATTCATTATGAAAGGTATTTTTGAGTATTTTTGTTTCAACGTGTACACATTTACGTATTTTTTGTTTATGTACAATTCAGCTTATTTATGAAGTTGATCGCCCCTCGGATGGAGCTTACCATCATAAATCTATTAGTTGACAGGTTGCTCTCATACGAAGTCCCACTAGGGGGCGCTAAGATGGTGATTTTTGCTTAATCGCATTTATTTAAAATAGTTCCAGTGCACCAGAATTGATGAAATTTATAATTTCAGCTCCATTTTTAATGCAGATTACTAATATTTACTCCTAAACAACCCAATTCCAGCGGTAATCTGACGATAGTTCCAATACAATTCTATGAGGAATAATTCTATCACATATAATGTTTTTTTTTTATCACATACAATGATAGAAGAGCAATAGTTTGTATCGAGTAATTCGATTTGTTTAAATTTGCTACATAACGGCGCCGGTGGTGTAGTGGTAAGCGTGATTACCTCTCACCCCAGCAGGCCTGGGTTCAATCCCAGTCGGCGCCGCCGGGATGTTCTGAGGCATAACATCTCTGATCACGCCTTCCTTCGGATGGGAAGTAAAGCCGTTGGTCCCCGGTTCATGAGTTGATGGGTCGATAGGTAGGGTCCAGGTGTGGGAGCTGCCTTCCTGGCACGTCGGTAGCATTGGTGCTCAGCACGGAAAACAAAATCGACGGAAAAAACAAATCAAAGGAAAAAAAATGCTACTTAGAACCTTTTGAAAAGTTACGCGAGAATTCCCGATTCTGAGGATAGTTTCTAGGGAGTTACGAGGAGGATCTCAATGGAATTCTAAGTATCTTCTAGAAGCATTACCAAGCAATTTCGAGGACAGTTCCAATTGAACTATGGGCATTCTGAATGCTGAAGAGAATTTCTGGGTAATTTTCCGGAGAATTACAATTAATCTCTGGGAACATTTCAACCTTGATTTTTAAAGAACACTTCTCAGGGGGTTAACAGGAGGATTCCTAGTTTATTCTTGGCATAATTCCAATGCAACTTATGAATAATTCCATTGTTATTCTGAAAGTTCTACTAGGAGAATTGAAATGAATGTTCCGTAAATAATTATGGACAAATTGTAAAGCGAGTTCCTGCGAGAATTATTAAGAATTGGAAGAGTATTGTAAAGTAAAATCTAAGATTTTTCTGGAGAGCATCCCTAAGATTATTCTTAATCGTTAATAACGGCATTACACATTGCTATAAGACAAATTTTGGAAACTCTAATGGCAGCATCTCAATCTTGAATTGGCACGCCGTTGATACACTGAAACTAAATACTAATGGGAATTTCTTTCTCATGAAACTGATCTCGAGAATTTATTTAAAATGCATTTCTGAGCAACTTACGCTATATGAGTTAAGTAAAATTACCTAGAGTTTTCAGTAGTAAAGTAAATAACATTTTGTTTGAGTGGTCATGTTAAAATCTATTCACATAAACTGATTAAAATAGTCGTTTTTAAAGCGCCAGTCTCTAATTTTGTATCGCTTTCACATATCGCCTAAGCAACCAATCTTCAATATGAAAAACATTAAAATTATATCACAAGGAGTTTAATATTCTCAAAAACACGTTTCGTTTTCATCATTTCCATTAAAAAGGCTACCTATCTAAAATAAAATAGATAAATATTCTAGTTCATACCTTAGTGCAATAATCATAATTTAGTTTCGTGCCGCACCATCCCATTCTTGGCACCGTACATCCGAAGTCGCATCGGTCTGCTATTGTAGGACACGGGTCCACTACTAGGCCCACCACCAACCGCACTATCTACACCATTAATTAAATCCAAACTATGGACCTGCTTGGCACTATTTGCCATCAGATTGTTGCTATACCCATTGACCATGTGCATGCTCTGGGGTGTAGCATTCAACACCTGCCTAGAGTTGGCCACGGATGGACCACCGTTAGCCAACATGGTCGCACTAGGCGATATGTTCTGGCCGTAGTGAACGGTGCCAGAGTTTTTGTTAAGATTGTTCAATCGCTGCGTGGCTGCTCCAATATTGGGGTTTGGCGTGGCGTTTTTCAATCGCTGCTGAGAATTGTTGGAAATGTTTGAATGCTGTTCGGACTCGTTATCGTCACCGCTATCGACGTCGCCATCACTGCTATTGGTACTTGCGATGAAATGCTCGTTTTTGATCGTCTTACGGCCCTTGTTTCGGCGGTAGTACTTGAACTCCCGTGGCAGCGTGTAGGATCGTGGCAGAGACACCTGTGCGGGATAGATGTAAAATTCAGTTCGGTAATTTCGTGGGTGACGGGTTGGGTATTGAAAATGAGATCCTACCTGACTATCAATGTCGGACGGTATCCGATGACCGTTATGGACATCATCCACGGCATCGAGATTCTCGTCACCGCTACTCACTACCGATTGGTTCCTGTCGGCTTCTTGAAGTCTGTAGAGAAAAAGAGAGTACGATACCTTTACTATACCCATTTTAAATAAAATAGCGTTTAGGTTATTAACTCAAGTAGATTCCGATATGTACCAACATATTATCACAATGATATTAGATGTTGTTTTGGACAGCATATTGTTAACAAATTATTTATAATTGGAGATACTTAACGTCAATATCAGACTTAAAGCGAAGACAACATATCAAGAAGACTGGCAACTCTTTCATGTTTTCATACGACCGCTATGAGGCAGGTACAATCGCGCCATCTGACGCTCAAAGGTAAATGCTTCGAATGATTTTGATTATATCCTCAGAAGAAAGGTTTGTGTATTTGCTCATTTTTCTATGCGTTGCTTCCACATTCGCTCAAGTGCAGCGTTACTGTATCTGTCGTTTGAATTCTGGCAAAGTTGCCAGTCTTCTTAATATGATATCTTTGCTTAAAATGAACATTTTATACGTTACACGCTTAAGTCGCCATCTGACGTAAGCATCTGACTTAAGTGTCTAACAATCGGTAGAACCGTTTCCGCACATCGGAGGTACATTAGCAAATCGGCGATCATTATTTTTGCCAGTGGAGGCGGGGGACCACCCCTCACCGCCCCTCATCAACGGATGAGTTTAGTAAATGGAATGATAATCTAAGATCATTCTGGGCATAAGAGCCCCACGCACAATGCATCCGAATCTGATCCGTTGCGGCAAATGTTGACAGTTAGATTGGACTAGAGATTTGGCTGTTACTTTGTTGCCAGAACGTATCACATTCGGATGCATTGAGCGCCGCACATAATACTATCTATCTTCAAAACTGATGGGTCATGAGGTTATTGACTTTCTAAAAGTGGGCCACAACCAACGAAAGTTTGAGAACTGCTTGACAGAACTTGCCGTTTAAAAAATACCCGTATAGGAAATAACCATAATATGCGGCTATAGGTGATTCGGGATATCATCACAACCTTATATTGTTCGTAATGGTACCTGTTTATGTAGAATCAAACAGACCGTTTGGAACTACTTCCAATGACTTGTAGGACAAATTCAGAGGACTTCAAGACATTTCACCCGCAGATGGGATCAAGATAAGGGACTTGTGATGGCAGGGTTGCAGAAGGAAACAAGGAATCAAGTTCAAATAATGTTTCCCGTTCTTTGATCCTCCTCTAAAAATCATGAATCATAAATCGGTGTATCAGAGAACGCAGTATAGGTACACATAATGTACAGTTGGATTGAGCCAAAACATTATCTGAACAACATGTTTCCTTAAGAGTGACTGCAACACTACGATAAAAGCTCTTGTGTGGTTTATAAATTGGATTTTAGGGAGTCATTTGCAAAAAATCAGTTCAGATAATTGATTCCGTTGATTTCAACAATCGATACGTAAATTCGAGGAAATTGATCAGTTCTGACAATCTATGGAATATTCCTTAATATTGGCATCACTCGTTGGAGGGTGTAAATATTGCAATGCATCTGAATTACCGAGCGTCTCCATCTTCAACCCTTATCGAAATGCAAATTTGAATTTCTAAGTAAACTCACGGTGAATAATAAAACACACTCACCTGAAATTAGCCGCTTCTCGTGCCACCCAATCGTAGTAGATCCGGGAGTTTTCCAGATAGTGTGGCGCTAGTAGAATCTCCGGAGTTTTCGCTCGCTGCATCTGCCGCTTGGTGTTGTTCAGGTTGTTGATCGCCGTTGCCGGAAGCACACTGGGCGGCACATTGTTGCTAGTGCTGCTGCTATTGTTGTTATGGCCACTGCTGCTTCCCGTGTTGGTGGCACTGGTGTTGTTGGGCATCGTGGGCGTTGCCCGGCTGTCCAACTTGCTGCGTGGAGGTGGAACCACGTTGTACGGGAATGGCAAATTCTCGGCGCCTGCATTTTCCATGCTACTGTACGTGCCGGACACCTGACGCGGATGGTTTGCATCCATGTAAAGTCGACTGTGGTTGTCGTATAGTACGGCTCGATTGGTTGTAGTCACTTCTGCATTCCGCGGACTAATAGACGGGGGCCTATTACCGTTGGCAGCGGCTTCGGCGTACAAATTTACAAAGTTTCCTCCCCGGTAGTTTTCAGCGAACGGATTTCTTGGCACATTGTTTGGCAGCATTTTCGATCGAGGATGAACTTGGCGAGTGAGAGAGTTGCTTTCCGTTGCCGAGATCTGAGAGGAAATGGGAGACATGTTCCTATTGTTAGCCACTGCTTGTTGTGTTTCGGCATTTTTCATAGTAACTAATGCCGAAATATTGATCCCGTTTAGTCCAAAACTATTGTAGATGGGATCGTAATTAGAATTAAATTTGTTCAAGTTATTTACATCATCTAGGTTAGCTGCCAGCAGCAGGTTGAGATCGTTGAAGGATTTCTCCACGGACATTTCCGCCATGTCCGGACTCGAGGGTCGCCAATCCATCGGATCAATATCGATATGCTTTTTGACCCGGGGAATCGGTTGCCTCGGTAGAGTGGCTTTTCCATCGTCTCCAGAACTAAGTGTGCCCGTCCCAGGTCCACCCAGTTTTCCCTGTTTAATCTCCTCTTCAATGATTTTCAATTCGGCTAGCTGCTTCTGCTTCTTCTCCTGCAATTTCTGCTGGATATTTACTCTTGAACCAATACTGCTTCCCTCGTTTTCACTGGACCCCCCTGTGTGAGACCTTGGCAAAGGCCTTCTCCAAAACGGTATTGCCATCGGTCCGATGGCCGTTCCATGATCTGTAGCATTAGATTGAATGGCAAGATTTGGAGGCGGCACAAAAGTAGTCGGTTTCTTCTTTTTCCTCTTGGTTGCAGCGTTCACCGGATTGGAAAATCGACAGTTAAATACACCCGGTATGGCATGGGGGTACTTTTGACTGCCACAACCTCCTGTGAATTTACCAATCTCAACGTGTTCGGCATTTTCTGGACAACGGCATGAGTCAAGGCAATGTCCACACTTGTTACCGGTCCATGGCGCTCGTCCCCCCGACTCGTAGCCCAGTCGCCTTACATGAAAGTATCGATAGTACACTACCATGAAGAACAAACCGATGGCAAAACTACACAGTACCGATATTGGGATAGTATACCATCCCTCGGGACGGTTATGCCATATGCCGACCATCCAGAGGCACACCAGTAAACAATTTTCCATAAACATCACCACATAGAAGGTAAGCTGGAATTGAAAAAAAAAAATAACAGTTTTAACTTACGAATTCTTATCAGACTTATCACTTTTAACTTTAACGCACCATTTTCTGTCGATGCCGAACTTCCTGCAGATTGATATATGCGAAAATATAAACGAAGGCAATCAACCCTCCGAGCATGGCTTTCTTCAGTCTTGATATCCGCTCTCCGTGGAAAACGTTTTTTGGCGAAATTAGCCACAGGAACATTGAGAACCAATGGAGAACTGCAAGAAGAAAATTCAAAAAATGTTAGTCACTACTGTCGTGAAAGGAATCAATCCTACATTCTTACTGATAACGAGAAACACCCAATGGCTGTAGACCGACGCGTACACGGTCAGAGAAATAACACGCGATATCACCGTGCCGAGTCGCCACAGAAACTGGAATATCACTCCGAGCCATGTCAGCACCAATCGATGCACGTTTTGAAGGCGGACATTCTTGCTGAAACTGGCCAGCGCCCAGCAGACGCTGAATAGTGACAACGTTGCCGAAACCATATTCAGATCCCGGAATGTCTTCTGCTGTTGTTCGGCTAGACTTGTCTGCTGCACTAGAGTCGTACTGGACAAGTGATGACTGCTGGCTAGTGCTTTCAATTTCAGCGTACTCAGGTGGTTCTCATTCTGCAAATTAACTAAAACATACAGCTGCAGCAGAAGCATCGGTGCAGCTTCACAGAATGCGTGCACTAATCTGAGCATGCATAAATCCCGAACCTCGTGCTTCACGTGGCGCAGGTCAACCGGCACGAAGAGTTTTGCGTAACGCCAAAGAACACCCAACTGGGTGCAGTGCAGTGCCAGTACAGCATATCGGCTATACTTTGCCGCTTTAGTTACGTGCTCGATCGGAGGCTTCTTCTTCTTCTTTTCTAGACTATTCTCCGGACTATCCGGACCTTCCGTGGGTGGTCCGGTGGTGGCTGCCGTTGAACCTCTCAACTTTCGTTTATTTAAATACCATCGTACAGAAACAATCTAGGATAAAAAAAGTAATCGTTGTTACATTAATTCGAAAATACTGTATGTTTCATAAATATAAACCTGTGAAATGACGAGGGAAAAACTGACGATCACGATAACGGCGGCAAAATAGGCGAACTTTTGCCTCTCGTACAGGGCATAGCCGAGCACGACGTCGAACACCACGTCACAGAAGTAACCAGCCAGCGAGATCACGTTGAACAGTACATCACAGAGTGGAAGGAATTCGGCCATTATTGTTTTTTATTTCTGTTTGGTGCAGGCGCTGCAAAAGATAGATAAAAATAATTCTTCAGTAGGTGTCTTATCCTGTGTAAATCTTATTCTGTCATAAGACGCATAATTGTGCCATGTTTTATGGAGTTTCATATACACATGAGCAGGCATGGAAAATCATTTGCATTCATTTCGTGTTACTTTTGTTAACAAGTCAAATCCGTATCTCTTATGCATGACGAAGCAGAGCGAACAGAAGCCACTACTGTTTTTCAGTGAATGTATTTTACATTCACTGAAAAACAGTAACAAGTTCTGCCCGCTCTAGTTCGTGATGCATAAGAGATACAGATTTGAGTTATCAGCAAAACTTGTAGACTAATAACAAAACCTACAAAAGCTCTATACATCATTTTGCGAAAAGCTGTTGATGAAAAAAGTTAGAGGCAAATGAATGTAAATGAATGTATGAAATGACTGCAAATGTGCACATGAGACAATAATGCTTCCAGCAGCGACAGTATCGAACAGGTCGAATGAAGCTTAAAATTCGACCTTTTGTCCTTTAGACCTTTTGTCCATTCGACCTTTTGTTCATTAGACCTTTTGTCCATTCGATCTTCAGTTACTTTATATTTCGTTCGACATTTCGTTAATTCGAGCTTTTATCCATTGGACTTTTTGGCCATTTCGACCATTGTCCATTCGAGCTTTACTGCCCGTAACCGCAAGTCAGTCCCACCTGTATTTTTATCAACTTTGAGTTAGCATCATTATTCCGTTTATCTATCTATGTTTTTTGAGCTGTGCTATTGAAAAAAGGTGGTTTGTTCAAGAAAAATGAAAAACAATACCGAGTCCAAATTGTCGTACAGCGAAAAGAAATCGCAAGTCCGTCCCATTAGGAAAAAACTACAAAGGACAGCCCTATGGGGTTGTAGGCAATGGTGACGTAGAACTACGTGGTCTAATATAATAAATGTTATTTGTTAACTGCAGCAGGAGCTTGTGTTTTGTGAAGGAATAGGAATTTGAGCGGAGTTCTCTCTGTTTATACTCTTTAGCATGGCTATGACTGCCCTGAAAAGAACGTTTTGATATGAATTTTAGTTGGGCATTTGGGGCAGCCATGATAGCTGGCTTCTTTGCGGGGAGCCTTTCGGTGTGTACTGGAGAACACCACTACTCACCACGCGGTGATTGAATAAACACCGTTTGGTGAGACCGAATGGAGTTCAACCATAGAGGTACTCTAAGTCCAGAACTTCCCGAAGAAACGTGCTCAACTTTTTGGCTCAGCTCTGGTACTCTCTTCGGTCCCAAGCTAATCGATGCACCCCTCGAAACATTGGAAAATCCACGAACCCCTCATTTTATCTGTCAAACTTTCATAGCGAATCAAAACAAACATAGTGTAGTACTAGAATTTCATCTAGAATGGGGTACGTTAATCGATTTGCTTGGGACCAATAGGCTAGTCAAGTAGTGAGCGTGTGTTAGCGAAAGCACTTTTCGCAGACAATCGGTGATAATTTTAATTATCATAGCAACAGTTGCACATTCGTGCAATTTTCAATAGTGACATTTTGAAAAATTATAAAGTCTGAGCTGATGCGTAGAAATATTTCTGATCGATTGGTGATAAAATTTTTGAAATTGTTTTCAGGGGCAGCTGAGTTATTAACATTCAAAATCTTTCATAATTTCGTTACATGTTCAATTTTTGGTTTTCACAAAGTGTGCCCCCATAGAGAAATCACAGACGTAGTCTTCCGTCAAAAATATGCTTTCATTAAATAAACTATGAAACAACGTCACAGCTATGTTTTTAAGCTTGCTTCTATTGAATTAAGAATGTTAGATAACATATTGCGTCATGAGATTGGACTCAAGACAGATTCTGTCCATTAGCCCTTAGGTATTCGGAGCACTTTGGCTCTGAATTCTCATGTTTGATCTCAATTTGATGTGTCGCATGATGGATTTTGAATTAAGCCATACTCGCCGAAATATGAACCGGCCATAGCTCCGGAACAAGCGGAACAATTCCAAAAACATTCAATAACGTCCTATGGGACCATACTGTTCAATACTGTGCTAAACTAATACAGCATCGTCATGGCGTTGTGACTGACTCGCGGTTTTTCATTGGCGTTAAATGTAATCGCATATCAGTCCCACTCAAATTTTGGTCATAACATAAAAATTTCACGATATTTTATCCAATATTTTTATACACGCACATTACACGTTTATTTTCAAAATTATCCCTCCAAAATAAGTGTAAAATGAGAAAACTTGTAAAATCTGTTAACGCCGTTTTCTAATTTCCAGTTTTTTACAGACTTGCGGTTATGGGCAGTTTAGTCCATCATCCTTTTGTCAGCATTGTCGAAGACAGCAATCTTCAATCTAGTCAAGACGTCAAGTAATCAATAAATTAAAAATTATATTGCACCCAGCACCACCTGGATGAGTGAATTCTGAACTGAACGGTTCATCATTTAGTAAATCTAGTTGATCCGAGGGGGGGGAGGGAGACAGTGAAAAATTTAGAGCAATCTAGAGCAACTCTGAGAAACTCTCTTGCTCTCTGAGCAAATCTTTCTCTCATTGCTAGTGGATTTTTCCAAAAGGTCTTATTTATTTCTTGATAAAAAATCGGGTTTAAGGTTCGTTTAAGTCTTTTTGAAATCTTCACCTTTGTTTTGAAAGTGATGAACAGCAGCAGAAGACTTATATTTCACTGTTGTTGATTTTAACTGTCTTGAATACTAAAATCCGAATCAAACATCGGAATACAGAATAATGTTTCCTCATCATCCGAATCACACTCAGGTTGTAGCTCCACCCGCATAAACTCGAACCAAAGCTTGACCTTACGGAAAATGGTTAAAAATTGTTTATAATCCCTGCTAAACTATAACTGAAATGGTTATGGAACATTACATTAACGTTTGTTTGATAAAGTTTTAACCTTGTATAGTATATGTATTATGGTTCTTTGGAAGTGAACCTTACAAATAATGAGTTGATTTCTCCATACATTTTCGGAGAGAGAACTATATTAGAACCTTTTTACTTATGGTTTGAGAACTTTAATGGTAATGGTTATGGTAGCCAGTAAGGTCCATTAATGGTTTTATATTATCGGTCAACTTTTCGTGGAAAATTCGCGAATTGGTAATCAGTAATTTACAGGCACCCAATTCGCGATATATTCCATATAAAGTTGATCGATGTTACATAACCGAGTAATGATTAACATAACATATAACTATATTTTGTTTCTTAAATTAAAAATAATTAGTCCAATCAACGTTTTCCGGACTTATTTTTTTTTCGATTTTTCGAAGCACATATCGCATTAGATTTAATCTGTCACCTAAATATAAACCACAATATGAGTTTCGATAATTTTAGTAATTCTTTCACTTCAATGATGAGGAAATTTATGAGGATTTTTGACAGATTCATTTTTGAACAATGAATTTGGCAAGATCGGATGATATTTATGTATCCCTTTTTATCTTGATCGATGCTTTATTTTTAGTGCGCTTAGCAAGCGTCAAAGGCAAATGGTACATGAATTGGTGCTAAATGGCTTTTATGGTACTTTTAATAAGGATTTCAAATGGTTCTCAATGCATTCGTCATATAACCTTTTTGCAATAAGTCATTCTTGAAATGTTTCGATAATGCAGTCTTTAGAACCTTCTTCAGGGTGGGCCAACTAGACAGATTCTAGTCTTAATGAGGTTTTGGTGGATGTAATAAAGGCAAAGCTATCTTGACCAGGGTTTTATGAATGTTGTTTTATAGAAGCCTTGTAGTACTTCATAAAACGTTAAATGTTACTAGGGATATTGAGCATATTTTTGCACTAATTTGTAGGTCATTATTATAAGATTGGGACCGGCAAAGGCGCAGCTACAAAGCAATACCATGCTGGAGGTGGCTGGGTTCGATTCCCGGTCCAGTCTACGAATTTTTCGAGTTGGAAAATGTCTCGACTTCTCTAGGCATAGAGTGTGACTGTACTTGCCACACAATTATACTAATGCAAAAATGGTACGTGTATCGAAAGCTCTCAATTAATATCTGTGGAAGTGCATCTTAGAACACTAAGTTAAGAGTACGCAATAAGATTGAAATGCGAAGAAGAAGTATCATAAGATTGCTGATGTATGTAAATATAATATAAAACATCCAAATCAATGCTGTTAAAAATGATTTCGAGGCATATTAGTGCATGTAACCACGGGTCCCATTCACCGCCTATGTCGTAGTGGAAATATTTACTTTTTGAATTGTGTTGCGTTTTCTTGCCATTGAGCGTATTATAGGGTTGACCAAATCCTGGCAGGGCAGGGGCAAGTAGCACAGAAACAGGAGGATATTAAGACTGGGACACAATGACTGGAAGTTGTTTGGAAAGGAAGGGATGGTCACATCAGACTCTAACATCAGACAAACAAAGAACTTCGTAGATCGCCTGCATGTATGGAAGATCACGGGTTCCCAATACATCTCTTACTTCACGGAAGGGTTGTCTACCTCGGGCCACTAGGGTATCGAACAGTCGTGCTCTGGAGGCGTCATTACCCGGGCAATACCAATACAAATGTCATCATAACCGGTTCTACACCTACATATATTGCTGTCAACGAGGTTTATTCTGTAGAGATGTGCGTCTAGCGAGTAGTGGTTGGACATAAGTCTTGAACCACGCTCTCGAAGAAACATTTGGAATAAAGGGAATGTAACCACCGCTCAAGAGAATTACTTGTCCAATCGTTTTGTCAACTTAAACGAGAACTCTGACGTACTATTTAATGGGGAAAATTCATCATGTGAAATTCTTGTATCATAAATCTCGCCTTGTTGTGCGCCCACCTTTGCGAGAGAGTCTGCCTTCTCACTGCCTGGGATTGAGTAATGTGAGGGGACCCATACAAAGGTAATCATATACATATGATCTTTCGACCAGCAAACTCATCTGCTCCCTTGCCTTTGAAAAGAAATAAGATGAGTGACTACCTTGTTTCA